GAGGAAGCAAACTGCAGAATGATGGATAACACTCAGGGCAAAGGAGTTTGGCCCAATTATTGCACTCAAGCCTCCAGACTGTCTTTTAGAGAGCCTCGATGTTTATTCCTCTCTCAGAGCAGAAAACATTCCTGCTTCTGGCTGTGGGGTGAATCCCAGCACTCCAGAAAACCTCTCTGGCTCCCAGAGCTGCTCCAGCCAGGGATTTTTGGGCATCACAGCTGTGGAAGGATGGAGCAGGCAGGGGGAGAGAGGCTCAGGGGCAGAGCCAGAGCAGCGAGGGGTGGCAGGGAAAAATGGGGAGAGGAAAAGGCAGAGGGAGGAAGGGAAAGGGAGGAAGGGAAGGAAAAGGAAAGGGGGAAAAGGAAGGGAAGGGGGAAAAAGGGAAGGGAAGGGGGGAACAAGGAAGGGAAGGGGGGGAAAAGGGAAGGGAAGGGGGGAAAAAGGAAGGGAAGAGGGGAAAAGGGAAGAGTCCCCCAAACTCTGAATTCAGGGCCATCATCACACACTGATCTGCAGGTCTGGCTGCTTCACTTTTAACTCCACATTCCTACACAGAAGGTATTAATTATCTGAATTAAGAGGCACAGAAGCCTTGCTGAGAATTCCCACAGTTCTCTGCAGGCAGGAGAGAGACATTTGCACGATGTAAGCCCCATCACCTCAGCCAGACCCGTGTTCCATCCCAGAAGAGGAGGAAAAACCCATTCACATCTGAGATAGCAACCCATTCCGAGTCCCTCACCCCAGAATTGTGTAGGAACAAGCTCTCACAAGAGGAGGAATCTTGCTTAATTATGGTAAAGGTCTACATCTCGGCAATCTTACCTCCTGTGTGCCAGGGAAAATATCAAAGAGGCTGAAAAATAGTACAAAAGCAGGAACACAACATAAGGTGCATGGAGGAGAGAGCAGGAACATTCCTAATTTATTACTTTCCTGTAACACCAGGTGACTAATGGAGCAGGCTGCAGCTTTTTTCCTCTGTTTTTTCATTAAAATCAGCATCATCAGAACGCCTGGGTTCCATTTTGCCCTGCTTAAACACAGAGAGGGCCAGAGGAATGCCTGAACTGGCTCTTGTGAATGTGGAGCAACAGCCTATTTTAGATGGCTGCAGAAATAAGATCCCAAGTGGGAAAGGTCTAAGAATAATTTTCAGCCAAAGACTTCACCTGGCAGGAAATGCAGCTCAGGCAAACCAGATCCAAAGATAAATCAGGGAGGGACTTGGTGAAACAAAACAAGCCCAGCTTTTCCCTGGGTGCCCACACCCCCTTCAGCTGCTTCTGCTCAGCTGCAGCAGCTCCCTGGCAAGCCCTGGAACAAGGAGAAGGTTCTCTGCAGCCCAAAATAACTTTTCAGTCACCTTGAGGGTGAAGTTCATCTGTCCCAGCCTGAGGGACGGGTCCCTCCCAACCTGGCTGGGCTGAATCACTGTCTGCTCTATATTTAAACCCAGCGCTGAATTGTCCTTGTGCCAGGCTGCTGTCCCACGGTCCTGGTGGCATCCTCGGGCAGGACACGTCCTGTGGCACAGCCTGGAGGTGCCTCAGCACCAGCACAGAGCTCCCAGAGAGGAGTTTTCCCTTCCAGCATCCCCCAGTACCTGCTTCTGGCCCTTTGTGGTGGCACTGCCAGCACGGCCCCTGCTGCTCTGGGAGAGGGGATTTTAAAAAAAGCGTTTCTGTTGCTCCCAGCGAGTTTGTTCCTCACGTGTGGCAGCTCAGAGTGTGCATTGCTCGGGCTTTTGCCATGATTCAAGTGAAGGAGCTTTTTAAAAGTGGGAGGTGACTGCTCCAGCCCAAAATCAGCGATGATGGAAGCAAAATTCCTGGGTGTTCTCTCACCCATCGCCTTTCAAACGTCAGGCAGATGCTGAAGTTGTTTTCTGGGGATCATGGAATGGTTTGGGTGGGAAGGGACCTTAAAAATCATCTCATTCCCAGCCCTGGATGGGCAGGGACACCTTCCACTGGCCCAGGGTGCTCCAGCCTGGCCTTGGGGTCCAGGGGCAGCCCCAGCTCCTCTGGGCACCTGTGCCAGGGCCTCACCTCCCTCACAGGGAAGGATTTCTCCCGAATATTTCATCTAATCCCACTTTCTTTGAGCTTTGACCCATTCCCCTTTGTCCTGTCAAGCAGGAATTTGGGAAGAATAAAATAGAAATAAACCCAGGGGCAGCTGAGAACCAAACAAGAATGTTCAGTGATCCTCCCTTGCTGCTTTCTCCTGGCCCAAGAGAATTTCCAGCAGCTGAGGGGGACAGAAATCCCCCAGTTTCACAGGGAATAGCACTGACTCAGAGGAGAAAGTCTCTGATTCGAGAGTTCTGACCTCTCTGGGTGGCAAAATGAGCTGCCACTTGCTCACTTTGGAGCTTTCTGTAGCTGTTGCATTGATGGGGAAAGTGCTGTGTATCCGCTTGTTTATTTGCAAAAAAAAAAAAAGGTTAAAAAAAAGCCTATTAAAATCCTGCACCTCTGGGACTGCCTGTGAAAGGCGTGTGATGACTCCAGCAGAGAAGTGATCAGCCTGCAATAATTTAGATGTTCCTGTTGCTATGGATACTTTCTTTAAGTGAAGCATACCATTATGATTTAAATTTCCAGTAACTCACAAAAAAAAAAAAGCAGATGAAAAGTAATAAGAAATGCCAGAGACGCGAGTGGTTTATTCCTTGCTGTCAGTTCTGCTCGTGCTGGGACGGCGCTGGAGGAGTGACAAAATTGCCACGTTGGAGCAGCTTTAATTCTTCTGCTCATTTCTCCCATTAATTGGAGCTGGGGCTCCTGGCTGGGAGCGAGGCAGGGCCTGGTGACACTGGGAGTGGGGATGTGACACTGGGGTGTGACACTGGGGTGTGACACTGGGAGTGGGGATGTGACAGTGGGAGTGGGGATGTGACACTGGGGTGTGACACTGGGAGCGGGGATGTGACACTGGGGTGTGACACTGGGGTGTGACAGTGGGAGCTGGGAGGTGACACTGGGAGCTGGGATGTCACACTGAGGATGTGACACTGGGAGTGGAGAGGTGACACTGGGATGTGACACTGGGAGCAGGGATGTCACACTGGGATGTGACACCGGGAGCAGGACAGGAGCGGGGGTGTGACACTGGGATGTGACACTGGGAGCAGGGATGTCACACTGGGATGTGACACTGGGAGCAGGGATATCACACTGGGAGCAGGGATGTGACACTGGGATGTGACACTGGGAGCAGGGATGTGACACTGGGATGTGACACTGGGAGCTGGGATGTGACACTGGGAACTGGGATGTGACACTGGGAGCAGGGATGTGACACTGGGATGTGACACTGGGAGCAGGGATGTGACACTGGGAGCTGGGATGTGACACTGGGATGTGACACTGGGAGCAGGGATATCACACTGGGAGCAGGGATGTCACACTGGGAGCAGGACAGCAGCAGGGATGTGACACTGGGATGTGACACTGGGAGCTGGGATGTGACACTGGGAACTGGGATGTGACACTGGGAGCAGGGATGTGACACTGGGATGTCACACTGGGATGTGACACTGGGAGCAGGACAGGAGCAGGGATGTGACACTAGGAGCTGGGATGTCACACTGGGATGTCACACCAGGAGCAGGACAGCAGCAGGGATGTCACACTGGGATGTGACACTGGGAGCTGGGATGTGACACTGGGAGCTGGGATGTCACACTGGGATGTGACACCGGGAGCAGGACAGGAGCAGGGCTCAGAGCTCCAACAAGCCCTGACCAGCTGCAGGGCTGGGGCCATTCCTGCAGCAGCAGCAGCAGCAGCAGCAGCAGCAGCAGCAGCAGCAGCAGCAGCAGCAGCGCAGGCAGATGCAAACACGCAGCTGCAAGGCAAACACCTCCCTGCAGAGTGGCACCAGGGAGGCTTTGAGGCAAAAACTCGGCCTGGAGCGGTGCTGCCGTCCCTGGGCTGGGGCAGCTGAGGCAGAAACTGCGGCTGGGGCTGGCGGGGAGCGTGGGCAAGTCTGGGCTCAGGCTGTGCTGAGACAGGAGCTGCTGATGGGAGCGCTGGAAGGGTGGAAAAACGTGAGAGATGTGGGGTTTGCAGGGTCTGCTTAGAAGGGAGAGGAAGGAAAATCCCCAACACCTCCCCGTGACTCCGAAACAGCAACTGGGGTGGCAGAAGTTTGGGGCAAACAAGGGGTTTGGGGTTACCTTGGTGTCTGAATCCTGCTTTTCTCACCTGCTGCCTCAGCAGAGGCCCTGCAGCCCCACCTGGGTGTCTGCTCCGTCCCAGCACTGCTCTGCCCACCCCTTTAAAATCCATCTTTTCCCTCCTCACGGGTGTTTCCCAAGCTGGGGGAGCGACAGATGAGGAGTCAGGAGGGATTTCAGAGCCAAACCTTGATGGGCTGTGTGCTCACAAGCTGCCCTCGCTGATGCTCCCTTCTGCAGGGACAGGAGGGACCTGGTGGCCCTGCTGAGGGGACAGTGACGTTGGTGATGGTCACTCTGGTAGGTACAATTTGCTCTCCCTCAGGATTTTTTATAGAGGAGTACAGAGAAAACAATTTTTGGTTTTTTGTTTTTGTTTTTCCATGTGGAATGTGTTTGGAGCATTGTTTACCTGGGGTGAGTGCTTGGCTGGATTCTGGTGAGGATTGTTTGAGCCTGGCAGCCACTCAGACCTGTCTAGAATTCTGAGAAAAGGTTAGGAGTTGTGAGGGAGTTCGGTATGGCAGTTAGAAAAAGTAGGTTTGTAGTTTTACTATCTCTTTTAAATAGCATATTAATGTATTGTAGCATAGTTATAATACAGAAATCATTCAGCCTGCTGAGCTGGAGTCAGACATCAGCATTTCTTCCCACCTGCATTCCCAACAGGGAGGGAAAATGCCCAGCAGCCTGTCCCTGCCCTGGCAGCAGCAGAGGTGCTGAGGGATGCACTCTGAAACTCCCCTGCCACCAGCAGAACGCCACACACTGAAGGAACCACAGGGGAAGTCAAGTCACCCAGCACAGAGGCTCCAAAAAACTGCAGAGTTTTTATTCCCCTCAGTGCAGAATATTCTTTACAGCGTCAGTTTTTCTTAAAAAAACCACTCTAGACACACAGAGATAGTGTTGTGACTGTCAGGCCTGCTGCTGGGGTCTCCAGGGAAGGAGAGGTGGATGCTCAGAGCACAGGTTCTGTCACACACGTGGTCAGTCAGCTCCACCAGCCCCCAGCACCTTCTCACACTCACACTCGGGGGGGAAAACATCTCAAATCTAAGTCAGTCACTCAGCTCCTCCTAATGAATTCCTGCAGCTGACAGAGAGGGATTTTTCCCTTCCTGGGAGCAGTTTTAAGGGAGTTCTAAAGAGCTGTCTGGGGAACGAATTAGTGCTTCAAACCCAAGTTACAAATCTATAAAACAGATTAGCACGCTTCACATAAGGCCACAAACACTGCGAGGTGTCAGTGAGACTATTTAGGATCGTTAAAACTTAAATCTCTTAGTTAGCAGAAGCTTTGTACCTCCGCTGCTGGTTTGCAGTCCCAGGGGTAGATGGAGCTTCCTGAGCCCCCTGGGAGCTGTGGCTGTCGGGGAGAAGGGCTGGGAGCACCACTGGGAGGGGTGGCTCTGCTACCTGGGCAGCCAGGTGTGGCTGCTGCCTGATCCCATTCCATCTGCAGCCAGGAATTCCTCCTGCCTGATCCCATTCCATCTGCAGCCAGGAATTTCTGTCTGATCCCATTCCATCTGCAGCCAGGAATTGCTGCTGCCTGATCCCATTCCATCTGCAGCCAGGAATTTCTGTCTGATCCCATTCCATCTGCAGCCAGGAATTCCTCCTGCCTGATCCCATTCCATCTGCAGCCAGGAATTCCTCCTGCCTGATCCCATTCCATCCCTGCAGCCAGGAATTTCTGCCTGATCCCATTCTGTCCCTGCAGCCAGGAATTGCTGCTGCCTGATCCCATTCCATCCCTACAGCCAGGAATTTCTGTCTGATCCCAGTCCATCCCTGCAGCCAGGAATTTCTGTCTGATCCCATTCCATCTGCAGCCAGGAATTCCTCCTGTCTGATCCCATTCCATCTGCAGCCAGGAATTTCTGTCTGATCCCATTCCATCTGCAGCCAGGAATTGCTGCTGCCTGATCCCATTCCATCCAGCAAGCAACAACCACACACCTTTGAGGCAGGAGCAAGCCCTGGACAGGCAAACCTGCTGGGCCGAGCTGGCCACACGGGCCTGAGGTCCTGCTGGCCCTCCCAGGCTGCCCTTTCCAGCAGAACTGAGCAGAACAAATCCTTCCTCCCCGGTGGTTTTGCCTTTAAAGCCAACGGAGCTCTGGGATCTGGAGAGGTGAGGGGTCAGCTTGGAGCCAGAGCTGCAGCATCGCCAGGGTGGGCTCTTTTTGGGTAAATAGCTTCTGAGGAGAGGTTCCAGGCACTGCTTACCGTGACAATTCGGACCATTGTTTTCAGTTCAAGTTTTAAAGTGCAAAACTTCGTAGAGTCTTTGGGTTAAAAAGCGTCAATTCCCAGCGGAGCCGTGGGGTGAGTGACAGCTGTGAGAGCGCCACAGACACTGACACAAAAGCACCAGCTCTGCTCCCTCTCTGCTCTCCCACTGTCAGCAGCTGCTGCAAATCCCCTCCTGGCCAGGCAGGTGATGAGCTGCTCCCGGCTGGGTGGGTTAGAAACACCGTGTTTGCATCAGGGGATGCTCCAGGGCAGCTTTGGTGCTGCCCAGGCTGCTGCAGGAGGAGCAGACCCTGTGCAGATCTCTCCACACCTCCCAGGAGCACTTGTAAACTGTGAGTAAACGTGTCCCAGAGCATCTCGTGGCTTAGGTAAAAGCAAGGTGTAAAAAATCCCTGTTAGGTCTCTGAAGCTTTGGTCTGGAAGCTGTGACATCCTCGGGGCTGCTCCTGGCAGGGTCCAGGGGGGGTTTCCTCTCTCAGCACAGCCTCAGAACATGAAGAGATCGTCCCTGTCGGCCGTGCCGGGCTCCAGCCCCTTCCAGGGGGACAGTGGGGACAGGGGGGACACGGGGGACAGGGGGGACAGGGGCTCTGCGCTCTGCACGTCCTGGGCCGACAGCCCCGTGTCCAACTCCTGCGGGTTCGTCCTCGACTGCGCCAGCCTGAGGGCACAGGGAGTAAACACAGAGTAAAACACGAGTAAAAAACGAGGAAAACACGAGGGAAAACACGAGGGAAAACACGGGGGAAAACACGAGGGAAAACACGGGGGAAAACACGGGGGAAAACACGGGGGAAAACACGGGGGAAAACACGGGGGAAAACATGAGTAGAGTAAAAACATGAGTAGAGTAAAACATGAGTAAAAATATGAGTAAAAACACGAGTGAAAACACAAATAAAAACACGAGTAAAAACACGAGTAGAGTAAAACATGAGTAAAAACACGAGTAGAGTAAAACATGAGTAAAAACACGAGTAGAGTAAAACATGAGTAGAGTAAAACACGAGTAGAGTAAAACATGAGTACAAACACGAGTAAAAACACGAGTAAAAACACGAGTAGAGTAAAATACGAGTAGAGTAAAACACGAGTAAAAACATGAGTAAAAACACAAGTAAAGTAAACACAGAGTAAAACACGAGTAAAAACATGAGTAAACCCCGAGTAAACACAGAGTAAAACACGAGTAAAAACATGAGTAAAACACGAGTAAACACAGAGTAAAAAACGAGTAAAAACATGAGTAAAACACGAGTAAACACAGAGTAAAACACGAGTAAAGCAGAGTATACACAGAGTAAAACATGAGTAAAGTAAACACAGAGGAAAACACAGAGTAAGAAAAGCACAGAGTAACACATGCACAGAGTAAAGCACGGGTAAAGTAAATACAGAGGAAAACTCAAAGTAAAGTAAACACAGAGTAAAACACGAGTAAAGCAGAGTAAACAGAGTAAAACAAGCACAGAGGAAAGCATAGAGGAAAGCAGAGTAAAGTAAACACAGAGTAAGACAAGCACAGAGGAAAGGACAGAGTTAAACAAACACAGAGGAAAACACAGAGTAATGCACAGAGTAAGAAAAGCACAGAGAGTAAAGCACAGAGTAAAACAAGCACAGAGTAAAGCACAGAGTAAAACAAGCACAGAGTAAAGCACAGAGTAAAGCACGCAGAGAGTAAAACAGTAAAACAGAGATTGAGTAAAGCACAGAGTAAAACAAGCACGGAGTAAAGCAGAGTAAAGTAATCACAGAGTAAAGCACAGAGAGTGAAGCACAGAATAAAGCAAGCAGAGAGTAAAACAGAGAGTAAAACAGAGAGTAAAACAGAGACAGAGTAAAGCAGAGTAAAGTAAACACAGAGTAAAGCACAGAGAGTGAAGCACAGCCCCGCTCCTGCTGCACCCCAGAGCTGCAGCCCCACGTTCCCACAGCCTCCCGTGGGATGGAGACGCTCAGGAAGGGGAAAAGGCCTCGGGGGAGCTGGCACAGAGCATCCCCAGCACTCCCGAGCTGCTCCCGGGCATGTGCCCCACACCTGCCTGGCAGAGTGGGGCTCTGGGACCCTCGTGGAGCTGCTGCCAGCCCCCAGCACTGACCCAGCCCTGTCCCTGCCTCGGGACAGCTCAGCTGATGTTCACAGCATCAGCTGGAGGAGCTTTTCATCCCAGATGTTCCACAAAGCCCAGGCAGCCCCGGGTTGCTGCTGTGTGATTTAAACACTGCAGCACCAGGGCTGGAGGTGAACTCGGAGGTTTGGGCTCCATCCAGGAGGGGCACAAGGTCAGGAGAAGCCCGGGGAAGGCCTGGTTTTCCTGCAGGGGTGGTGATGTGGCAGGAGTGGCTCTGGGAGTGCTGCAGGATCAGCAGCCCCAGCTCTGAGTCAGGGTGATGGAGCAATGCCCAGCAAAGGCAACACCAGCCCCAGCTGCTGCAGCCACTGGGGCAGGGAGAACAGAGAGACCAGGACATAAATCAGCCCTGTTTTCATCAGCCCCAGCCTGGGACGAGGCTGCTGGGGAAGGGAAGCTGTAAATCATCCCTGAGAGCCAAACAGGAACTGCAGCAAACCCTTCTCCTGCCTCACTCCCTCCTCCAGCACCTCCCAGCCCCAGGGGGAGGAAGAGGAGGAAGAGGAGGATGGGACCCACATAAAACCACAGCAAGCCTGCCAGGACAGGCAGGGAAACCGAGAGGAAACGGGTTTGTTTGGCTTTGCTCAGCAGGCAGGGGCAGGGAAGCCTCTAATTTGGAGTGGAGAGAGGAATAAACCCCATGAACTGATGGCCACACACCCTGAATTCGTGGGCTGAAGAAGAGCAAAGCCCCCAGTGCCAGAAGCTGGGACCAGCAGCCTGGAAAAGTCTCGGGGGGTGGGAGCAGACACAGCAACTGCCTGGGGAATTAAATTCCCCATCACTTGCTGCCTCTCTCCATCCTTTAAAAGGTTGTCAAAATATTTGGCTTCTCAGGCAGCCTTGAAGCCCATCCTTCGATTACCAACTGCTGGGGCAGCTGCCCAGGCCAGATCACAGCCCTGAGGAGATGAAGGAGCATTATTCAAAGCCAGCCAAGTCCCAGGGGCTGCTCCCCGAGCTGAACTCAAGGGAGTGATGAGAATTACCTTGAAAACGCCTCGTCCAGACCATCATCCATTTCCTTTGTGAAGAGATAAAGAGAGAGACAAGTAGTTGCTAAGAGAACTGCACAGAAGTGTGTTTAGAGATCTGGCTCTGCACTCAGACAAAAAAATCATCCCTGCCTGCTGGATTCCGAGTGCCTCAGTCCCCTCCTCTGCAATCTGCCTCCTCTCCGGGGGAAATGTGAATTTCGGGGGGCCTGGCCCTTCCCTCCAGCCCCAAACGGGCTGACTCTGCCCCAGCTCCAGCCCAGGAGAGCAGCACAGGGATGGGAACCACCACCCCTCCCTCTCCCAGCTCCAGGGACCTGGACACAGCTCCAGGAGCCCCTGGGGCTGTTGTGGCTCAGGGTCAGCAGGGCAGCTCTGCCCTGGCACAGCAGAAGCAGCTCTGGCACCCTGCAGCCCTGCCCTGCTGCCAGGCTGTCCCAGGAAGGCACTGGGGCTGCTGGGGAAAGCTTTTCCATGCTCTGTTCCCAAAATCCTGCCATGCACTTACAGACTTAATGCAATTAATAAGTGGAGTATGAAAACTCTGAGAGCAGGGAGGGGTTGGAGATGGCTGATAAGCCTCCAGGATTTGGTTCAGCCTTAGGGCTGATCTCCAGCTTTAACCTGGAGAGGCTCAGGCACTCGCCCTGCAATTCCCCAAAACCCAGCAGGAAGGGGTCTCCAGAGAGGGGCTGTGCTGGGCAGAGACCCCAGGGCCAGAGGGGCTTCCAGGGGCAGCCCCAGCCTGCCTGGAGGTCAGAGAGCCATGGAAGGGGTTGGGTGGGAAGGGAAATCCCTTAAATCCCATCCCATTCCCACCCCTGCCATGGCAGGGACACCTTCAGTGCTCCAGCCTGGCCTTGAGCACTGCCAGGGATCCAGGGGCAGCCACAGCTGCTCTGGGCACCTGTGCCAGGGCTGCCCACCCTGCCAGCCAGGAATTCCTGTCCAAAATCCCAGCCAGGAATTCCTTCCCAAAATCCCAGCCAAGCCCACCGTGTCCCAGTCTGAGGGGATGAAGGAGCACTGGGTTCCCTGGGGGATGCACAGCCAGGGCTGCAGCATCGCTCTCCCCCCAAAATCCATGAAACAACTAAACCAGGGCACTGAGCACGTTCCCCAGAAGCCATCCCAGCTCCACAGACACTAGCAGGAGCAGGGAAAAACGGGACAAACCATGAACTCTGCCCTGGAGAGAACAAGGAGCCAGCAAGGCACTGATTCCTGCCCCTGAACACAGCACTTTGGTCACAGTGAGGTGACAAACTGCTGAGAAATGCTGCTCCACAGCAGCAATATTCAATTACCTGGCAGGGCTTTGCCATCCTGCTCATTTACCCCCCAAGCACTGAGCACTCCTGGATCATTCCGAGCTGTGGTGCCTCCCTGAGCAGCTCAGCCACCCCAGAGCTCCCAGTTTACCCCATAACAGCCCGGGGCTGGGAGCTGGAGCACTCCTGGCTGTCCCTTACTAATATTGTGTCTATTTGAGCCAGGTCTGACAAGCTCTCAGAGAAAAGTATTGCACCTTTGATAGCTCAGCTACCTCAGGTGGCATAAAAGTAGCAGGATGGCTCCTGGGACAGTGTTGGAAACAAAAAAGTTTTAATAAAAGGCAAAATAAAAAAGCTCTTTACAGGGAAAAGCAGAGCCACGGCAAGAGGTTCTTGCTCCTGCTAAAACACTTCAAAAAAGTGATTTACTCCTTTTGCTCTCTTCTTTTCTAGGGGATTGCTTAGGTGGGACTTTTTGGCTCCTGTCCAATTGGGTGTCCTTAAGTTTGAGGTGATCCCCAAGGTGCAATGAGGTGTCTTTTAACCAAATTGAGGAGAGAAACTTCTGGGCTTTTTTCCTTTTCTGGGGGACAAAGGGTAACTTGTTTACTCCAGCAGCAGGGGCGCGTTCCTGCACTCACCCAGAGCACGTTGTTGTTGACCGAGGGGCTGGGCCCAAAGCTGCTGTTGTCCAGCCCTGGGCACTCCGTGCTGCTGCCCAGGGGGGATCTGCCAGGGTCCCCAAAATCCAGCAAGTTCCCCATGGCTGGAGCTGTGGGCAGGGCAGGGCAGAGAGGGAGAGAGGGCAGAGTGAAAAAACCCTTTTTTGCCAAACCTTTCTGCAGGCATCACAATCCCCATCCCTCAGGGACAGTCCCCCATCCCTCAGGGACCGTCCCACATCCCTCAGGGACAATGCCCATCCCTCAGGGACAGATCCCCCATCCCTCAGGGACAATGCCCCATCCCTCAGGGACAGATCCCCATCCCTCAGGGACAATGCCCCATCCCTCAGGGACAATGCCCCATCCCTCAGGGACCGTCCCCCATCCCTCAGGGACAGTCCCCATCCCTCAGGGACAATGCCCCATCCCTCAGGGACAGTCCCCATCCCTCAGGGACAATGCCCCATCCCTCAGGGACAATCCCCATCCCTCAGGGACCATCCCCCATCCCTCAGGGACAGATCCCCCATCCCTCAGGGACAGATCCCCATCCCTCAGGGACAGATCCCCATCCCTCAGGGACAGATCCCCATCCCTCAAGGACAGATCCCCCATCCCTCAGGGACCATCCCCATCCCTCAGGGACCATCCCCCATCCCTCAGGGACAATGCCCCATCCCTCAGGGACAATGCCCCATCCCGTCCCCATCCCTCAGGGACCGTCCCCATCCCTCAGGGACCATCCCCATCCCTCAGGGACCGTCCCCCATCCCTCAGGGACCGTCCCCCATCCCTCAGGGACAATGCCCCATCCCTCAGGGACCATCCCTATCCCTCAGGGACCATCCCCATCCCTCAGGGACCGTCCCCCATCCCTCAGGGACAGATCCCCCATCCCTCAGGGACAGATCCCCCATCCCTCAGGGACCGTCCCCATCCCTCAGGGACAATGTCCCATCCCTCAGGGACAATGCCCCATCCCTCAGGGACAATGCCCCATCCCTCAGGGACAGATCCCCCATCCCTCAGGGACCGTCCCCATCCCTCAGGGACAATCCCCATCCCTCAGGGACAATGCCCCATCCCTCAGGGACAATCCCCATCCTTCAGGGACCGTCCCCCATCCCTCAGGGACCATCCCCATCCCTCAGGGACCGTCCCCATCCCCATCCCTCGGGCTCTGCCCTGGTGGCTCACGTGTGGCAGGCTGGGCAGGAGCTGCTGAGCCGGGGCTGCTCGTCCCTTCTGCTGCCAGGATGGACCTTTCCCTCTTCTCCTTCTCTGCAGAAGAGGAATCCCCTCACTGCCTGCAGCTCTGCAGCAGGAGGGAGCTCGGCCAGGCCACCCCTGCTGCTCCCCAAGGTGAAAGCAGGAGCCCCAACGTGCCTGAGGCACCTCCAGCAAAGGAGCACAGCCAAAACCTGGCTGGATTTACAAGGAAACCTGGAAATTTGGGAGGCAGGGAAAGGGGAGCACAGCAAAGTGACCCCTGAGGGTGAGGAGAGCAGTGGAACTCACCTTCCTTCGCTGCCTGCCAGAACTCAAAGGCGACTCTGAAGGCCTGGGCCACAGTGAGGGTGACAGCCTGGGCCTGGGGAGCAGAGAGCAGGACACATTGAGACCTCTGAAATCACTGAAATCAGTCACTGAGATCACTGAAATGAATTAAATCAATCACTGAGATCACTGAAACCACTGAGATCAACCACTGAGATCACTGAAACTACTGAAATCACTGTGATCAAATCACTGAAAGCACTGAAATCAGCACTGAGATCAATCACTGAGATCACTGAAATCACTGACAGCACTGAAACCAATCACGGAAACCTCTGAAATCACTGAGCTTGATCTCTGACATCTCTGTCATCACTGAAACCACTGCGATCAATCAATGAGATCACTGAAACCAATCACTGAGATCAATCACTGAAACCTCTGAAATCAATCAATGATCTCGATCTCTGACATCACTGAAACCACTGGAATCACTGAGATCAATCATTGAGATCACTGAAATCAGACAGCACTGAAACCAATCACTGAGATCATTGACAGCACGTACACCAATCATCACTGAAATCGGTGAAATCACTGAGATCAATCACTAAAACCACTGCAATCAATCACGGAGCTCAATCACTGAAACCAATCACTGAGATCAATCACTGACACCTCCAAAATCGATCCTTGAGCTCCATCTGCGGCACCTCTGCTCAGCAGGTCAGAGAGAGAATGTTCCAGATAAAGAAAAATAAATGTCGGAATCTGTGCTATTGATGATTCCCAGATTGTAGAAAGTCTCTGTCTGTCAGCCCCGCTGCCAAAGCAGAAGCCATAATTCATCTGTGCTGTTTCAAGGTTGTTTATTCTGTTTATCTCTAACATGTTCTGCTGCCCTGCCGCAGCTCTGTCCTGCAGGGCAGCGTGTGGGGCTCTGCCCTCAGTGGGATGGTACAAACATTAAATACCACAAACTACCTGTGCTGGATTTACAATAACGTGCCAATATCTGTCACCTACGTTGGACAGTGTGTCCCCAGCCTGAACCAACAGAAAAATGCCAACACCACAGTGAAACATGGAGGGCATGAAGAAGGAGAAAAAGGACAAGGCACACCTAATTTCCTCCATCTTGTCCCCTTTGAACCCCTAATCTAGAAACCTAAAATTTTACTTTTGCACCTGTGCCACACTTAATTATTACTGATATCAAACACTCAGAGCTGGTAATTCATCCTGTAAGATTGAAAACTCTTTTCCATGGGCAGAGATCACAGCCAGTGTCTCTGGGGGCTCTGTCCAGGGGGGTTCTGACCCCTGCCAGGGTCCCAGGGCAGCCAGAGGGAAGCCCTGGACTCCCACAAATAAACAGCCTTGAGAAGCCGATCCTGTGCATTTCAGACTCTTCCTTTGGCTGCAGGGCTGGGAAATGAGGATTTTTACACCCTTGGGGTCATCCCAGCAGCGCAGACCCCGAGACCCCAGCACGGCCCCGGGCTGCTGCAGTGGGTTTGTCCCGTGCCAGCCTGGCCCTGCAGGAGCAGGGACACCCCCTGCCAGCCCTGCAGCTGCTGCAGAGGGACCAGCAGGGACAGAAAGGCCACCCCCATGCTCAGCAGCAGCTCCAGCCCCAGCAGAGCAGCAGGAATGCTCCCCACACCCCGGGCATCCAGGCTGCGTGGGCTTTCCCAAGCTGTGAACGCAACAAACCCAAAGGCAGGGATGGACCTGGCTCCCCTGGCAGCCCCCAGGGACATGGGGGACACAGAGAGGGCACAGCACCCCCAAAAAGGCCAGGCAGGGGGGCAGGGAGACCCCCAGAGCCATCGGTGCCAATTAAGGCTGGCAAGCAGGAGAGCTCGTTGGAATGTGGGAGCTATTTACATCCTCGATGGCAGTGCAAATGCTTTATGGCAAAAAAACCCTCAAATATGGTAATTAAGTATGAAACTCCTCACAGCTGTTTACAATTTAGGCTGTCACATCTGAATCAAGTTTAATAGACCCAGCTACTGTTGAGAATTACCCAGGAACTAAAAATATGGACTAATTATATGCCTGAGACTGGGAGCTGTGGTGCATCCAGGGCCCCTGCCCCGGGGAGGGCTGGCTCCCAGTCTGGGAGCAGGGATCACCTCAGCAGCAGGATGTTCCTGCATTTTACAGAGCAGGAAAAAGGAAATTATTCCTAGATTTTGCCAGAAAAGTCTTTGGAGAACTTTATTTGGAGGGGGATGCGCTGAGCTGATGGAGCACCGAGATAATTCTTTTAGCAGCAGGAAGATTTAAATTTTAATTTGCGGAGTGAGGCTTATCTTGGCCGTGCAAGGATGGGAGCACACGGCAGGGAAAGGAGAGACAACTTGTAGCTCCCATTATTCTCTCCAAGGGGAAAAAAGCCAGCTGGGAGAGGCAGAGAATTTTAACAGAGCCCTGGTGGCCGAGCTGCAGGCACGGGGATGCTCCTGAGGACCAGGCTGGGAATGGCCCTCAGAGGGATCTGGGACCTCCTGCTCCCCTGCAAGAGGCACCAGGGAAGGATTTCAGGGCCCAGAGGGCTCTGACCTGCCCTTCCTCTCCCCTCAAGCCCCTTCCTGGCATGGGGAGGGGGCTCAGTGCCAGCTCTGGCTCCACCAGACACCCCAGGGCTGCCCTTGCCCCACTCCTCTCTCGTTTCACCAGGTCCCTTCCCATCCTGGAGGCCTGAAAGAGCAGGAAAACATCCCAGGAGGGCTCAGAGCATGTGGATATTCTCAGTTCAGTCAGAGAGAAAAGGAGAAAGGTTTTTCCCAGGCTTAGCCTGGCAGAAATCTTTCTCTTTTCCTGTCTGACTGAACTAGAATATCCACAAGAGCACACCCCAGACTCTTCCCCACAGCCAAGCCTCTGCTCTGGGCCCATCCCCAGCACACAGCAGGGTCTCCTGAGGGGAGGACACAGCCCCAGCTGCAAAGATGCTGCTAAAAACTCTGCAGAGCTGGGGCTGGCTGCCCCAGCAGGGCCCCCTGGGCACCTCCTGGCCAAGCCCCCCTGCCCAGGTGGCTGCAGCAGCACAGGGAGGTGCCTGTGGGGCAGGGCTGCAGCAGGGAAAGGCCCTGCAGGGCAGCAGCAGCACTCTGGGAGCTCTGCCTGAGCCTTCCTCCAGCCCTGCAGCCCCTCTGTGTCCCTCCTCCTCCTCCTGGGCACTGACCATCTTCCTCTTGGTGCACAGGAAGGCGTGGCACTCCAGGCTCTCGTTCAGCTGGCTCTGGGCAATGTAGGCAAACACTTTGTCGTGGGCCTTGTCTGCCGTGCAGTAGGAGATCCTGGAAGACACAACACCACGGGCTGGGCTCTGGGGAGAGGCTCCAGAGCCTCCTGGGGCTGCCAGCAGGAGCTGCCCAGCTCCAGGGCCAGGCAGGGAGCACAGGGAGGGCACCAGGCTTGGGCTGGGCAGGGAGAGGAGCCAGGGTGGGTGGGTGAGTGAGTGAGTGAGTGAGTGAGTGAGTGAGTGAGTGAGTGGGTGAGTGAGTGGGTGAGTGAGTGGGTGAGTGAGTGGGTGAGTGAGTGAGTGAGTGAGTGAGATCCACGGGCACAAGGAGAGGTGGGAGAAGAAATGCCCTTTTCACACTGTGGGACAGGACAGGCTGGAGAAGGGGAAGATTCCAGCAGAGCAGCACCTCACACTGCTCTGCCTGCAGCAGAGAGGCTGGCTCAGGTTTTCCTTGGAGGATGAAGAAGGAGAGGGGAGCAGTTCTCAGCCTGGGATTTCATCTTCAGGCTCAAGGCAGGGAGAGGAGCTGATGCAGGGGTGGCTGAGATTCAGGTCTGGGATTTGCAGCAGATGCTCAGGATGAGCTCAGGGGATGTGGGAGGGAGGCTCAGCCCCTCCCTGGACACCCCCACACCTCTGCACCAGCCAGGGGCGAAGAGCAGCAGGCCAGAGGAGCAGCCCTGGGGCGCAGGAGAGCAGCAGCACCCACCTGTAAATGGAGATGTTCTCGATGAGCTCGTTGGTCCTGCTGTCCCTGAGCACAATCCCTCGGGGTGACACCTTCAGCGTCACTTTCTGCAGCTTCTTCCCACTTGCTTTTGCCTTTGGGAGGGAAAGAGGGAGGGGAAGTCCCAGGCTGCTAATCCTGGCACCTCCAAAGGTGTGTGAGCAGACTGGGGATGCACACTGCTCTCACCAGGGCTGATTCTGCTGCCAGGAGGGACACAGCACTGCTTAACCCTTCCCTTCCCTCCCTGCAGCAGGGATTTGTGCTGGCACAGCAGGCAGGGGCACACCCAGCACTGTGACAGGCACTGCCAGCCAGCACAGGGATGTCCCCAGGGCCCCCAGCACGGCCCTGAGCTGTGCTGGGAGCAGCATGGGCCTGGCACACGTGGGCTCCCAGTGGTGCCAAACCCCACTCCAGGGGCAAAGCACCCCCTGGATAGGACATCAGCTTAAAACCAGACTTTTACAAGCCACTTTCCCTCATTTACTGGCCTGGTGCTCTCAGCCTGTGGCTCACATCCAGCTGGTTCCAAGCTGGAATCCTCAGCCCCACTCCCTGGGAATTTTTGAGTCCCTTGGGGACCAGGGGGGTGGCTGGAAAAGGGATGGGAATCAGGGGGATGGCTGGAATTGTGCTGGAGGAGGGCTGGGAATCAGGGGGTTCAGGAAACCCACCCCTCTGAGGTCACAGTGGGACAGCTGGCTGGGAACTGCAGCAAGGTGTCCCTCTACCTTCCCCTCTCAACCCCCCAAATCCTGGAGGGAAAGCCCAGAGCGGCCTGGCCACGCTCCAAAGGCTGTCCCTGCCCCGGGGCAGGCTGACTCCAGCAGGTCAGAGCTCCTCACACACCCTGGCTTATCATTTATCTGGGGAGCCAGAGCTCAGCCACGCACCAGCCGTGCCCAGTGAGCCCCATCCCACAGCCTGGGCTGCTCCCGGGGGCTTCCCAGTGCCTGAAGGGTCTGCAGTTCCACCCACAGCCCTGGAGGGGCTGGGGCTGCAATCCTGACCCTCCTGGGGCTGAAACACCGATCCCCTGGAGCTGCAATCCCAATCCTGTGGGGCTGCAACCCCAAAGCCCTGGAACTGCAATCTCAATCCTGTGGGGCTGCAACCCCAAACCCCTGGAACTGCAATTCCAATCCTCTGGGGCTGCAATCCCAATCCCACTGGGGCTGCAAGTCCTCGCTTCCCCCAGCTGCAGCTCTGAAACTCTTCCCCGTGGGACTCCCCCGAGGGCCAGCAGGGCCACTCAGGGCCACCTGGGGACACTCACGGTGGCCACGATCCTCTTGACAGCGGCTGCAGAGAGCTCCTCTCCCTTGGGCTGCTCCACCAGGGTCATGCCCAGGTACTTGAGGCTGAAGAGCATCCCCTCCAGCAGCGTCTCCCGCGTGTCCGTCCAGTTCTCGGGCAGCTCTGGGGACACAGGGAAGGCTCTGGAGTCACAAACCCACAGCAACACCCCCGGAGATGGGGCAGGGAGAGGAGGCAGCAGCACTTCAGCCACGAGGTGTTCACCTGGGAGCCTCCCCTGCAGCTCTCCGAGGCAGCAAAATAAACCCCAAAACTTTTTCCACAACAAACAGCAGCAACCCTTTAGGAGCCACCAGTTTAACTGGGAGCGCTGGGGTGCCACCCCATGCCCTGACCCTGCACAAGGAGGGTAAGATGGGATTTGCTGCTAAGCCCGGGCAGCTGCTGGGATCCAGGTGAGGTAAATCACCACCCACAGCTCTGAGGAGCCCCTCAGGAGGAGAGGTCTCTGCTCCCCCCATGGAAACCACCACGGGCTCTTCCCCAAAGTGCTGGTGGGGCTGGAAGGAGGGTTCTAACACAGGGATAAACACACACACAGGGTGTGGGGCCAGGCTGAAAGTCAGCCGGGCGTCCCTCAGCCTGAAATTCCACCAGGAGCCACCTGGGATGGGCAGCTGGTGCTGGAGGGGGGCTGAGGCAGCGCGGGGACAGCGACACTGTCCTGTCCTCACCGTGCGGGTCACCCAGCCCCGGGCACGGAGTCACAGCGCTCGAGGGCCACCCCTGCCAGGTGTCCCCACGCCCCCCCGGGTGTCCCCACGCCCCCCAGCCAGCCCGTTCGTGTCCCGCCGCTGCTCATCCCCGATCCCCGGTGCCCCACGCCGGGTCGGTCTCACCGGACCAGCGACAGCCACAAGCTCGGTGTCACCCGGGGGGTGCGGGGTGTCGGGGCCGCTCGCCACGGGGCCATCGACCGTGTGACAAAGCCAGCAGCGGGACGAAGTCACAGAGTGACAAAGTGCCCGCCGGGCTCCAGCCCTTGTGCCAGGCTGGGGGACAGCGGGGACGGGGGGGGCACGGGGACAGGGGGACACAAGGGGGATAGGGGGACACGGGGACAACGGGACACAGGGACAGGGGACACGGGGACAGGGGGGGACGGGGGCAGGGGGGGACGGGGGCAGCGGGATACGGGGACAGCGGGACACAGGGACAGGGGGAGAGTGGGACAGGGGGAGAGTGGGACAGGGGGACAAGGGGGGACACGGGGACACAGGGACAGGGGGACACGGGGACAACGGGACACAGGGGGACGGGGGTAGCGGGATACGGAGACAGCGGGATATAGGGGGACAGGGGGACACGGGGGGACAGGGGGACAACGGGACACAGGGGGACAGGGGGACACGGGGAGAGCGGGACAGGGGGACACGGGGACAGGGGGACACGGGGGGACAGGGGGACAACGGGACACAGGGGGACACAGGGGGACAAGGGGGCAGCGGGATACGGGGACAGCGGGACACAGGGACAGCAGGACACGGGGACACAGGGGGACAGCGGGACGGGGGGACACGGGGAGAGTGGGACAGGGGGACAAGGGGGGACACGGGAACACGGGGGCAGCGGGACAGGGGGACTCGGGGACACAGGGGGGCAGCGGGACAGGGGGGCAGGAGGACACGGGGACAGAGGGACAGGGGAACACAGGGACAGCCCCGGCGCTGCCGCCCGCGGGAAGGAGCGCAAGGAAAGGGGAGCGCCATGGGGCGGAGCGAAGCGCGAGGCAAAAAAGTGGGGCCGAAAGTGCAGAAAGAGCCGCGAGAGAGAGCGAAAGTGGAGCGGGGGGGGAAGGCGGAGCGGGGGAGCGGGCCGGGCTCTCACTGTGGTGCCGCCCGCCGGCCCAGGCCGCTCTGGGCCCGCTGGGGCTCCGCAGCAGCGCCCGGCCCGCGGAGCGCAGCGCGTCCATCCCGGCCCGGCCCGGCCCGGCCCGGCACAACTTTCCTGAGGCGCTGACCGCGTCCGGGGGCGGGGCCATGCAAATCAGCGTGACGTCACGGCCACGCCCCATGCCACGCCCATCCCAGCGACCCGCCCCGAAGCTGCGGGGTCCCAAAAACTCTGTGGGGACCCAAAAACTCTGCGGGGACCCAAAAACGCTGCGGGGACCCAAAAATTCTGCAGGGTCACAAAACTCCTGCAGGGTCCCAAAAACTCTGCGGGGTCCCTAAAGTTCTGCGGGGACCCAAAAACTCTGCGGGGACCCTAAAGTTCTGCGGGGTCCCTAAAGTTCTGCGGGGTCCCTAAAGTTCTGCGGGGTCCCAAAAACTCTGCGGGGACCCAAAAACTCTGCGGGGGTCCCAAAAACTCTGCGGGGTCCCTAAAGTTCTGCAGAGCCCCCAAAACTCCTGCAGGGTCACAAAACTCCTCGAGGTCCCAAAATCTCGGGGACCCTAAAACTGTGCAGGGTCCCCAAAGCTCCTCGGGGACCCTAAAATTGTTCAGGATCCCCAAAGCTCCTGGGGGACCGTAAAACTCTGCGGAGATCCTAAAACTCTGCAGGGTCCCTAAAGCTGTGCAGGGGTCCCAAAACTCCTCAGGGACCCCAAAGCTCCTCGGGGACCCTAAAATTGTTCGGGGACCCCAAAGCTCCTCGGGGACCATAAAGCTGTGCAGGGTCCCCAAAGCTCCTCAGGAACACTAAAGCTCCTTGGGGACCCCAAAGCTCCTCGGGGACCCTAAAACTGTTCAGGATCCCCAAAGTTCCTCGGGGACCCTAAAGCTCCTCGGGGTCCCCCAGGCCTGCCAGCACTGTGGGGACACCGTGACCCCGCCACAGCCAGCGCCCTCCGTGCTGCCCGCGGCAGGAGCAGCCTGGCACAGCCTGGCACAGCCTGGCACAGCCTGGCACAGCCCAGGGATGGCCCCTGTGCCCAGCACAGCCCAGGGATGGCAAACGGAGGCTGGGCAGGGTCCCTGTGCCCAGCTGGCCACGGTGGCACCTTTGGGATCAGCCCCTGCCCTCCCCAGGCTGGTGCAGCCCCCCTGGCCATGGCACTGCACAGGGCAGGGTTGGCATCGGGGGGTTTTGGCTCCAAAATCCACGGCAGCAGGTGGGCACCGGGCTGGTTCCCCCCTGGCAGTTCAGATCTCCTTCTTCAGGGTGGGGCACCCCTGGGAGGGGAATCTGTGGTTCTGCACACCCCAGGATTTTTTTGCACATAAAAATCCTTTTTGAACTCAAATAAAAAGAAGATTTTTATTCAAACAAATGAACAAACAAACAAATAAAACTTTGCTCCTCAGGCTTTGCTGGGCTGGAGCCGTTTGCCCAAGGAGCAGCTCGGCTGAGCCCCCCCCAGGAATTCTGAGTTTCCTGAAATTGGGCATTCACCAAAAGGCTGCTCAGCCTCAGGGGGGTTTGTTCCACGGGGTGCAGCAGAGGGGGAAGCTGGCTGGAGCAGTTCTGTGCTGGCTGGAGTTATTTCTCCCAGGGTCAGAACAGAGGCACCAGGAGTTCAGTCACTTATTGGGGTTAATTCTGCTTTTTATCACCAGGAATTCAGGCCTCATCTCAGCCTCGTGCTAAACTGGATTAGTTTTACTGACAGCGCTGGAGCTGCCAGACTGACACCAGCACATCTCCTTATATAACGCAGCAAAGATAAAAATACAGCAGGGTAAAACATCAGCTGGCAGAGGAAAGAACCAGAGCACCCCCACATTTAATGCAGCCTGAAAAATGGGATAAGAACCCCAGGGCTGGAGTGCTCAGGGCTCCTCCTGCCCTGGGAAGGTTCCATCCTCCTTGGGAAAAGTTCCATCCTCCTGGGGAAGGTTCCATCCTCCTTGGGGAAGGTTCCATCCTCCTTGGAAAGGTTCTATCCTCCTTGTAAAGGTTCCATCCTCCTTGGGGAAGGTTCCATCCTCCTTGGGAAAAGTTCCATCCTCCTTGGAAAGGTTCCATCCTCCTGGGGAAGGTTCTATCCTCCTTGGGAAATGTTCCATCCTCCTTGGAAAGGTTCCATCCTCCTTGGAAAGGTTCTATCCTCCTTGGGGAAGGTTCCATCCTCCTTGGGAAGGTTCCATCCTCCTTGGGGAAGGTTCCATCCTCCTTGGGGAAGGTTCCATCCTCCTTGGAAAGGTTCCATCCTCCTTGGGGAAGGTTCTATCCTCCTTGGGGAAGGTTCCATCCTCCTGGGGAAGGTTCCATCCTCCTTGGGGAAGGTTCCATCCTCCTTGGGGAAGGCTCCATCCTCCTTGGGAAAGGTTCCATCCTCCTTGTAAAGGTTCCATCCTCCTTGGAAAGGTTCCATCCTCCTTGGGGAAGGTTCTATCCTCCTTGGGGAAGGTTCCATCCTCCTGGGGAAGGTTCCATCCTCCTGGGGAAGGTTCCATCCTCCTTGGGGAAGGTTCCATCCTCCTTGGGGAAGGCTCCATCCTCCTGCCATGCCCCTGGGCAGCTGCTGGCCCTTTCCCCACCCCTGCTCTGCCCTCCTCTGCTGCTGGTTTCCCTGGCAGGGTGGATGAGGGGGTTTTGGGGTTTTTTCAGGATGCCAAGGGAGCTTCCCTGCCCCTGAGGTGCCACCAGCCCAGACCAGCTCCAGGTCTCCTCGCTGCCCTGTCCTCTCCCCTGTTGTGTCCCTGTGCTTGTGATGTGATTTCTCCCTCTCCAAGCTGATTTTTTGTCCTGCAGGGCCCGTTTCCTCCAGCCCTGCATCCCCAGGGGTGGATTTGCTGCTGCTGGTGTCACTGCACGCCCAGGCTGTGCCAGGACATGGAATTGAAGGCGCAGGCAGCAGCAAACCCGGCGAGGCTGCTGTAAAACAACAGATGGGCAGTGCCTGTGCCGTTCTGCTCGGGCAGATTTGGGAGCTAATAATAATTGTAAACATCTCTGTGCACCGTGGTTAATCCTGATAATCTCCTCAGTCCAGGCTGGGCTTTGCTGGGTGTTCTTCTGTGCCTGGGGCATCCCTGCAGCTCGGGAGTTCCAGCTGTGCCAGGGAGCAGGGGCAGTGCCAGGGGTGCCAGCCAGGTAAAACCAAATTAAAATAAAATGCCACGCTGGGCAGAGGTCACATTTCAGCCCTGGAGTTTCCCACAGCCCCCGGGTGATGTTGGCAGCTCACAGAGCTCCATTGGAACACCAGGCTTGGGGATTTTTGTGGTTGGAAATATGAGGAGCACGAGTTCAAAAATCCACACAGCCAGCAGAGAAATATGAGCCTTTTTAAAAATTGTTTCTTTTTAATCTCTGGATCCTGGGGAGGAGCTGGGGTTTGGAGATTTTAATAGAAAAATTGGAATCTGCTGCTGTGGTGTGCTGCTCCTGCTGGCCCAGGGACACGGGACAGAGGGACAGAGGGACAGAGGGACACAGGGACACAGGGACACAGGGCTGGGCTCCTCAGCAGCTGCTGGACATGAGGGATGCAGGTGGAAGGGGTAGGAAACACAAAAACCCTTTTTGAACTCAAATAAAAAGAAGCTTTTTATCTTTAAAAAAAAAAAAAAAGGCAAAATAAAAACCCCCAAATCAAACCCAAACCTCACCTCATTATTGTTAAAAATCCCCTCCAAAACATGGTGGGAAATGTGGGTTTTTTCTGCTGGAGCTCCCACCTTGCCCTCAGCTGCTGGGCCCTCTTTGGCCCAGAAGCAGAACCAAGGCTCAGTTTTGTCTTCACTTTCCTGATTAAAATGCTTTTTTTCATCATTAACTCGATTTAAGGGCCTATTTTTCAAACACAAAGCTGCAGCTTCCCTTGGAAGCCCAGGGGAGGTTTTCAGGCCAGTCAGGAATGTTGGAGTCGCCCCTCTCCACATTTGGGTGCCACAATTCCCTTTTTGCCTGGGGCTGCAGCTGATTTTTCCTTTCGATTCACCAGCATTGGCCACATCACTAAAACCACAATTCCCAGGGCAAGGCAGGCCCCAAAAGTTCATTAAAATAAAAGGGTTAAAAGGTCGGCCCCTGCCTGGCACAGGGGGCTGCAAGGGGCAGGAGAACTCAGCTCCCAGGCATTTATCACTGCAGCTCCTCGCTGCGCTCCAATAATTTGAATTTTTGCATTCATTAAAGCAGCATTACCAATTCCCAGAGTTCCTGCTCTCCCGTTCCCCGTCCCGGACAGGATCTCAATTTATTCCAGACAAATCCTGAGCCCCCTTTGATGCTGAACTCTCCTCCTGGCACCCCCAGGGCACAGAGTGGCTGCCCAGGGCATGGAAGGGGAAGGAACATCCCAATCCCCACCCACAATCCCATCCTATCCCCAATCCCATTCCCCATCCCCAATCTCATTCCCAATCCCATAACCCATTCCCAATCCCTTTCCCATTCCCAATCCCATCCCCAAAACCATTCCCAATCCCATTCCCCATCCCCAATCTCATTCCCATCCCCAAAACCATTCCCAATCCCATCCCCTTCCCAACTGCATCCCCATTCCCATCCCCAATTCCAATCCCATCCCCGGTCCCAATCCCATCCCCATTATCATCTCCATCCCAATTCCATAACCCATCCCCAATCCTGTTTCCATCCCGAATCCCATCCCATTCCCAATCCCATTCCCAATCCCATTCCCCATCCCCATCCCCAATTGCATTCCCAATCCCAATCCCCATCCCCAATTCCCAATCCCATTTCCCACCCCCAATCCCAGCCCCATCCCGGCCTCCCCTGCCCTGTCCCCTCAGACCGAGCTGGGGCAGGGGGCACTGGGCGTGTCCCAGCCCTGCCCGGCTCTTCTCCCTTTTCCCTTCTCCCTTTTCTCTTTTTTTCCCTTTTCCCTTTTCCCAACTCTGGGAATGCTGCTGGGAGCAGGAAGTGCCTCCGAGCCGAGGTGACATCGGCGCTGTGGCTGCCATGGCAACCCACATTTGTTTCTGGGATAATTAACAAAAATCCTGCCCAGCTCCAAAATCCTGCCCTGCTCGGGCCTGGCCACGGGGAGACACCCAAGGCCACCAAAAATGGGTTTTGTTGGCCCCTTCTGCTCAC